ATTGCTTTAGACAAAACAGGAGAAAAAGCAGCATGGCTTCACCATTTCTTATAAGATATTTCAATGTGGCCAAAACCCGTGTCAGCTATTTGCATTCATTGTGATAGTCAATCTGCAATAGGCAGGGCACAGAGTCATATGTATAATGGTAAGTCACGATACATTCGTCGTCGACATAATACCGTAAAGCAGTTGCTCTCAAATGGAATAATCTCAATAGAGTATACAAAATCTAAAGAGAATATTGCGGATCTGTTAACAAAAGATTTGACAAAAGAGCAAGTGTATAGTTCATTGAAGGGGATGGGATTAAAGCCTATTACATAAAAGTCATCATAATGGTAACCCTACTTAGATGACTAAAGAACCAAGAACTAAGTTCAAAGGGACAATTAAGTTATATGTGACTCGCTAGAAATCACCAAGGGATTAAAATTCTCCTCCCATTCCTATGGTGAGAGTGATATCCGTAACATGTGTTGTATGCAGGGGTTTAAGGATAAGCTTTGCTTTTAATGATTACTTATATCTTGATTTAGGCATAAAAGTGAAGACAAATATAAGAGATTCTCACAATAAGAATCACCTATATGAGTATCGAATTGGGGCCAATTCTATGGTAATGAAAAGGCTAAATCCTCTAGGGGCACTCATGAACAACCAGGAACGTTCAAGGCCAAAATGAACACAACCGTGAGAACCACGATGTGTCAGAAGATATTTTGTGTGAAATCTATTGTCTTGGCTTATACAAACGGCTGAATAATTCAAAGCATCGTGTCCATTGGTTAGCTAGTGAGTCCGATAGGTTATCACTAGGGAAGGTTCAAGGTCGAAAACTACTTATCCCGATGCAAGATATTTTCGATTTACACTCATACTCTTTCAAAAAATTTTGCATATTGTTGTATTTCCATTGTCATCAAATTTCATTCATGTGGGGGATTGTTAGAAATGGTTTTGGAAAAATCAATTTTTTTTCCACAACTTTGGTCTAATTTTTATATAGGACCCATGCCCCAAAGTTGGCGGGTCTACGTGGAAACGCGTTCTATGCCGCGTTGTGATTCACGTAGTATATTTGGTTGCTCAAAACCATTATCGGGTGTATGGGAAATTGATGCCAAAATGGGCTCCATGAAAATGGTGTGTTTGGTAAAATTTCCTTAAAGGTTTGAATTAAGGCTTGTCCCACATTGGTTTGGTAGGTAAACTTTTGTGAGTTCATAAGCCGTAGGTTTGCAACTCGGAGAGGGCCCCAAGGGGTACCCAAGTTTTGTATAACGGTGAGGTTATGGACTAGACCCATTGAACCCAAAACAAACACACGCGCACGTCGCCGCTGTCCGTCTGTCTGGTCGGGCGAGCTGGGCTTGGGCGCGGGTGCTTGGTGTGAGGCTGGGTTGGGCTTGTCCGGCCAAATACTTATTTTTTTGGGACAAAAACATTTGAATTTAATTTTATTTTTTGGTAAAATATAATCTGTCCACTTTTAATTTCAACTTTTGGTTGGAAAAATTCAAATTTGTTTGTACCTCTTCAAAATTTCAGTACAGGTTCCATATATGTCCAACCAGATCCAAATCTGTTCAAATTCAAACCCAAACAGATCCGAATTTGTTCAAACAGTGCCGAACAGGTATGGTACCTGTTCAAACAGATCTGCTACCTGTTAGATTCAAACCGAACAACCACTATTTCATCTATAAATAGGCAGTCTCTTATTTGGATTTAACATTCAATTTTTCATTCTTCTCTGCTGTTGTTAACCTCTGTATTTTGCTACATTAATTTTCTTGTGAGAAAGAGTCTTAGTGTGTTCGCTGTATGAATAGTTCGTACTGCTACTACTATTCACTGTTGATCATTTTATCCTGGGAAATAAACGTCCACAATCTAAAAGCACCGTGAAGAGGACGAATCTGTCTTAAGGAGGACACAGTGTTAACTACTGGACTTGATCAAAATTTTATTCGAGAAATTAATAAGGTAAGTAATTAATTTACTTTCTGTTTTATTTATGTTTATCAGATTCTGATTTTGTTTTTGTCACAAAATAAGAATTTATTGTTTTATTTTATTTTATATATTGTTTTAATTTTTATAATCAAACAGTTTCTCTTATTTCTTTAATTCTTCACATATAGTGAAGATTTTCCAACATTTATGTCCACATGCATGCTTCATTAAAATGATGAAATGTTTGTCTCATAATTTGTTTTTAAAATGACTAGTCACAAAATGATGCTTCACAGGTTTAGGTCGTGGGAGGTGGCGCATGTGAAAAGGTTAGGCAATTCGGTTGCCCACCGTTTGGCTCGCATGGCTGCTGAAGTTGTTGGGCATTCGGTGTGGATGAAAGAAGTTCCTCCATCTTTGTTTTCTTTAATTAGGGTAAAAAATTTCATTGTTTTATCTGTTTCTAATTTTTTCATTTGACTATATAAAAAATAATAATTTTGATTAGCCACAAAATCTCTATGAACATGCATAACGCTTATTATGGGTTTTTGTTTTGATAATTTAAAAATTTTATTTTATAAATTATTTAGACTCATAGAGTTTATTATGGGTACTATTTTTATCATTTAACTTTTTTATTTTATAAGGTCCTCTGTATATATTATTTTTAAAAAATTAAGTCAATTTAATAATTATAATTTTTTATTTTATTATATTTGTTTTCAAAAAAGTGGACCAACAATTTTCAAAAAACATGTTTGTTGTCTATTTTTTTTAGACAAATACGATAAAATGAAATATTATGATTACTAGATTGACCTACTCTTTTTAGTCAATGATATACACTGAGGGGCCTATAAAAATAATGATTTGGATAATCGAAACGGAACCCGTGGTGAATCTTGAACCGTTCTCTTAAATTCATATTTAAAGGTGAGAGAAACTTAAAAAATTTATAGAAATGCATACCCCATTGTGTGATGTGTACGACATCCAATTATGACATTTGTGGCATTTGGTTAGGGTAATTCTACTTACACCACATATTTATCTCCTTACATCCTATTTCTTATTACACTATCTTTCAGGAAATTCTATTTTCACACACCTAATTAACTCAAGACAAATCTTTTCTTAATACACACACTTATTAATTTAATTATTAACTAATTTTCTCAATCCATACCCTTCAAATTACAATTACATCCTTCACTCATAACCATGGTACACACACTTTACCCTCAAATTCACACACTTTTACTGACCATAATTCACATTTTTGGTTCCACTCACAAAAGTGAAGACCAAATTGACTTTTGTTCAAACAGGGGAAAAAAAAAAGTCTTTGAACTTTCCTCATCTGCATGAAAGACTTTGAAGACCTCCATTGAACATCCACTAAAGACCATTGAAAACCCTTCTTTAAGGTAAGAAATCTTTCCATTTTATCATTTTGTTATTACATCATTGGCCAACAATTATAATTGGGCATATCGAAAAGGGTCTCTATTGCTCGATTTATACAACCTGCCACATTGACATAGATCTTGATTACATTATAGAAAAAATCTTCAAAAAGTCTGTAACTTCTTCTTTCAAGTTTGATTCTTTCCATGATATCTTTAATCCCATCAAAGTTCTTGGCTAGAGTGAGCTTGTTGACGATCACAGTGTAGAGAGCTTCATTTGGTTAATATGAATAGTTTGTACTGCTACTACTATTCACTGTTGATCATTTTATCTTGGGAAATAAACGTCCATAATCTAAAAGCACCATGAAGAGGACGAATCTGTCTTAAGGAGGACACAGTGTTAAATACTGGACTTGATCAAAATTTTATTCGAGAAATTAATAAGGTAAGTAATTAATTTACTTTCTGTTTTATTTATGTTTATCAGATTCTGATTTTGTTTTTGTCACAAAATAAGAATTTATTATTTTATTTTATTTTATTTTGTATACTGTTTTAATTTTTGTAATCAAACAGTTTCTCTCATTTCTTTAATTCTTCGCATATAGTGAAGATTTTCCAACATTTATGTCCACATGCATGCTTCATTAAAATGATGAAATGCTTGTCTCATAATTTGTTTTTAAAATGACTAGTCACAAAATGATGCTTCACAGGTTCAGGTCGTGGGAGGTGTCGCATGTGAAAAGGTTAGGCAATTCGGTTGCCCACCGTTTGGCTCGCATGGCTGCTGAAGTTGTTGGGCATTCGGTGTGGGTGAAAGAAGTTCCTCCATCTTTGTTTTCTTTAATTAGGGTAAAAAATTTCATTGTTTTATCTGTTGCTAATTTTTTCATTTGACTATATAAAAAATAATAATTTTGATTAGCCACAAAATCTCTATGAACATGCATAACGCTTATTATGGGTTTTTGTTTTGATAATTTAAAATTTTTATTTTATAAATTATTTAGACTCATAGAGTTTATTATGGGTACTATTTTTATCATTTAACTTTTTTATTTTATAAGGTCCTCTGTATATATTATTTTTAAAAAATTAAGTCAATTTAATAATTATAATTTTTTATTTTATTATATTTGTTTTCAAAAAAGTGGACCAACAATTTTCAAAAAACATGTTTGTTGTCTATTTTTTTTAGACAAATACGATAAAATGAAATATTATGATTACTAGATTGACCTATTCTTTTTAGTCAATGATATACACTGAGGGGCCTATAAAAATAATGATTTGGATAATCGAAACGGAACCCGTGATGAATCTTGAACCGTTCTCTTAAATTCATATTTAAAGGTGAGAGAAACTTAAATAATTTATAGAAATGCATACCCCATTGTGTGATGTGTACGACATCCAATTATGACATTTGTGGCATTTGGTTAGGGCAATTCTACTTACACCACATATTTATCTCCTTACATCCTATTTCTTATTACACTATCTTTCAGGAAATTCTATTTTCACACACCTAATTAACTCAAGACAAATCTTTTCTTAATACACACACTTATTAATTTAATTATTAACTAATTTTCCCAATCCATACCCTTCAAATTACAATTACATCCTTCACTCATAACCATGCTACACACATTTTACTCTCAAATCCACACACTTCTATTGACCCTAATTTACATTTTTAGTTCCACCCATAAAAGTGAAGACCAACTGACTTTTGTCACAGTTGAAAGAAAAACTTACTTTCGTTCAGAAAAAAAAAATAAAAAATAAAAAAGTCTTTAAACTTTCCTCATCTCCATTGAAGACTTTGAAGACCTCCATTGAACCTCCACTAAAAACCATTGAAAGCCCTTGTTTAAGGTAAGAAATCTTTCTATTTTATCATTTTATTATTACATCGTTGGCCAACATGGGCATATCGAAAAGGGTTTCTATTGCTCGATTTATATGACCAGCCACGTTGCCATAGATCTTGATAACATTGTAGAAAAAGTCGTTAGAGAGTTTTTAACTTCTTTCAAGTTTGATTCTTTCCATGATATCTTCAATCCCATCAGGTGTGTAAAAATAGAATTTTCCCTACTTTTCATCTCATTACACTCTCCATGATTCCTAATATATCCTCATCCCTACCAATTCATCCTCTTTTTTCACCCATTCACGTTTGAAATCCTAATTTCATCCCATCACTGTCTCATCCACCTTCAGCCACCATCGCCGCTGCGACAATCGCAACCACAAATCTTCACAACCCATCGCAAACCCAATCCTGCAGCCACCCACCACCGCTCACGAACCCAACCTTTGTAGCCGCCACCATCGTGAATCCACCCCTACAACCTAAGAGAGAAAGAGAGAGCGAATTTAAGATCTAGGGTTTGGAGGATGAGGAGGAAAAGAAGGAAGACGTGCAGCTTTTCAATTGTTTTATTTTTTCGTCAAAACAGGTGTGCATAAATGCATATAAGCATTGATCTAACGATTTCTTATCAAGCAACCATGAAGTCATTGGATTTGGTCATTCAATATTGTATATGCATATCTGGCAACCAATGAATTCACTTATTGATATCATTACTTTCCTTATTGTATACACACAGATCTAATAATCATTGTTTCTTTGTTGTATATACACATATCCAATTATAAGAATTCTAGAGGGAGTTTCTCGTGGCCAAAAGTGTGGCAGCTTAGGCAAGTTGGCATTGGTCAAAATCACTATCAATGTAAGGAGGACAGATGGTGGGTTGTGTAAGTTGAAATCGTTACGGAGGGCTATCGGAGGTAGGGAAAAGAGTGCTGGGGGTTGGAAAAGAGTTGTCAGAGGTGGGAAACGGTAAGGGAGGATTGTCGGAGGTGGGCAAATGGTGATGGAGGGTTATAGGAGGTGAGAGCAGAGTAGAGAGAGACTGAAGGGTTGGGTGGGATGAGAAATTGGTTGTTCAACTTTTAAGGGATTAATTGGTAACTTTACACAAAAAGATAAAATTGTGATAAAAAAATAAAAATTAAAGAGTAATTCTATTTTCACCCACCTGATAAACTTAGGGTACACACTTAATGACAAGTATATCCTTATTAAAAATTACTATAATAACCGTTAATCAACACTCCTAATATTATATATATAAATTCTCTATACACATCTTTTGGAAATAAAAATATTTCAATATACACTTTTTGAAACAAAAAAATTAAACCCTAATTTTTCTTTTGTAGTCACTTTACTTCTTACACACTCTGTACTCCTCTCTGTTATTTGCAAACAAAACATCTTCCATATTGCTTTAATCTTTAAGTTTATACTCGATTATTAACATCATTTAATTATTAGTTCAATAATTTTTACTTGATTTTGATGTGGAAGAGTTGCAAACCTATAGAAGTTCAACTCAAGCAATGGTGACAGCAAAATCAGTGATGAAAAGGTAAAATCATGTAGTATTTTTTTAAAATTTTTTTGTGTTTTTTAGTCAGAAAGGCAGTGCCGAATTTGTTGAATTAATTCGGAAATCAAATACCGTAATAATATGAATGGTTCGTTCCTTAAAAACTAATTTTTTTAATGTATTTCGGTTTTAGAGTGCCGAATAAAATTAATAATTTCGTCATTAGTGTTTCGAAATTTGTTATTATTTTCGGTTTTTTATTTCTGAATTTATTTATTTATTTCGGATCTGTAGAACCGAATTAAATTTTTCCTTCTCCTTTTGAGATGGCATGCACTGAAGAACCTGAGGTTCGATCGGATATTATGGTGGATTGTACTAGCTATTTTACAGCTAAATAGGTAATTTTTAACATAAAATTTGAAAGTTCATAAATTTGTATTCGTTAGTTTGTTTAGTTTGTTATTATGAAAGTTGTGTGACATTGTATATAGGTTTTCGACAACAAAGATGAATTGCTCACTTGGGTACGTGACATTGGAAGGATAAATGGCTTTGTTATTATTATAACTGGTGCACCATGTATATGATCATCATCCATGGCAATGTGCATGTCATCATCATGCACTCGAGCACGTCCACGTCCACGTCCACGTCTCTCTAATTCATGGAGTCTTCTGTTCGAAGCTGTTACTGACCGACGTTCACTAGGACCAACATCTATCTGCATAAGAAAAGTTGTTCTTATCAACCCAATATAATGAAACACAATAAGCACTCCCATAAAAGGATCACATCAATGCGGGTAACAAGTAGCATAACCATGCCACCTTAATGAAATCTAATACGCAGTTATAAACCATTAAATTCACAATTTGGATGATGTGAAATTAACAAAATAAGTTAAATACATAACCCTACTACTTATGAAAGATTTAGACTAGGATTTTTTGAAAAATTATAATACAAACATGGATATAGTAAAACTATTTGTATTCTATACAGACCATTCATCAATTAGTTTGGTTGATGTTCACAACATGCGAAAAACAGGTTAATTTCATTTCGGCCAATTTACCAAGGCAACATGGTCATTAATCAATACCAACATCATTTTTCAAACAATCAAAGGACTGCCCATCACTTGTCTTTGTACATGCCATTGATTGTAAACTTGTTGTAGCTGTAAGAATACAACCAAAGACCAAATTTGGCACCAATTTCAATGCTTTGAAATGACAAACCCCAAAGACAAAATAACTCAAGCTTTAATACTCTATATAATGCAATTGTTTTGTTCAGATATTTAGCTAACAAAATTTATGAAGACAAAACTACTAAGCTAACAATATCATGTGGAAATACCAATACTGCACAGATTTTTGTTTCTATTGTTATGCATTCAATTTCGTGAAAAAAAAAAAATACATAAACATACCCATAAAATAAAATTGTTGAAAAAGAACCTAAAGTAAAACAAATATTGGTGGCCTATGTAACTTGGTTCTATATCATACATTACCAACAAAAAAAAAAAAAAAAACCATTCGGTACTTCAGGACCGAAAATACAAACATATTTCAACAATGAAGTATCGAAATTCTTGTAGTTATTCGGAATTAAAAGGACGAACTCATGTATTTTTTTCGAAATTCATTGGTCGAAATTATACATAATATTCGAAAATCAAGGGCCGAATGAAACACACATCTTCGGCAACCCAGTGCTGCAATCTACATAGCACTTACAGCTCTAGGAAAAACATACTTTTATGCCAATGGAGTGAAGAGAGATCCAAAAATTGTCAATGTCATATCAAAATGATAAATGTAATAATAAAATTGAAAGATTTCTTACCTTAAACAAGATTTTCAACAGTGTTTAGTACATATTCAATGGAGCTCGTGAAATCTTCAATGGAGGTAAGGAAAGTGCAGATTTTTTTTTTTTTTTTTTTTTTTTGTTTCCTGTTTGAACTTCTTCTTCTTCCTTTTTGAACCAAGGCACTTTGGTCTTCACCAAAGTGGGTGGAAGTAGATATGTAAATTGGGGTAAATTGAAGTGTGTGCACTTGAGGGTAAAGTGTGTGTACAAGTTATGAGTGAAGGATTTATTTGTAATTTTAAGGATGTTGATTGAGATAATTATTTAATAATTAAATTAATAGGGATGTGTATTGAGAAAAGATTTGCCCTGAGTTTATTAAGTGGGTGGAAATAGAATTTCCCAAAATTAAATGGTGTAATGAGTTGTTTTTGTGGTGTAAGTTGAATTACCCATTTGGTTATGACCTATTATGATATTAATTGTTACTCGATCATGACTCATTGTGAGCATCTCCAATGCACTAGGTATATAATGATTGTTAGGTAAAATGCCTAGTATGACTCACTTTTTTCAACTCCAATGCACTAGGCATGTGTCTTCACCAAAGTGGGTGGAAGTAGATATGTAAATTGGGGTAAATTGAAGTGTGTGTACTTGAGGGTAAAGTGTGTGTACAAGTTATGAGTGAAGGATTTATTTGTAATTTTAAGGATGTGGATTGAGATAATTATTTAATAATTAAATTAATATGGATGTGTATTGAGAAAAGATTTGCCTGAGTTTATTAAGTGGGTGGAAATAGAATTTCCCAAAATTAAATGGTGTAATGAGTTGTTTTTGTGGTGTAAGTTGAATTACCCATTTGGTTATGACCTATTATGATATTAATTTTTACTCGATCATGACTCATTGTATTATTAGTTATAACTTATTGTAATGTTCATTATGACATATTGTGATTATTCATTTGGTTATAATCAAAAAAGTTTTTAGTTATACTTTATGTAGTTTTTGTTATGATTCATTATTATTTTTTTAATTATGACTAAAAATGATTTAGTTATGACATTATAATTAACACCATATATAAAATATCATAACTTATATATGATACACAACCCAAAAAGATTGTGTATAGTAAAACATGAGATGATTTAGATGTGCTATGTGGTCTTCGTCACATCGAAAATGAATCCAAAACTATACATTAATTTTTTTGATTAATTACATTAATTTCTTGTGAAATTTAAAAAAATACATTGAATTTACAAATATGGCATGTGTTATTCTAATGTTTTAATTCTGTTAGCACCATAAATCTACAATTTTATTATTATTTATTTTTTATATAATTGTAGGACACGTGACATCTTCTTATTCATTCGGAAATTAAAAGAAGTTATGGAGATGATGGAGAATATGAAGGACAAAGTGGATGAGTGGAAGGACACATGGCAAGACAAGAATGAAGATGGAAGAAATGGGTAGTTACTAAGTAGTTATTGCTGTATTTTTTTCTCTATAAATAGCCATTAATGGCTACATTGTGAAGGATTCAGAGAACATAAATCAAAGACAATTGATTTCAATATTTCTTGTCATTTTCCTTATCTTAGGAGTAGTTTAACATAGATTTATATTTCGAAGCATTTATTTTCAGCATTTCCATTTCGAAGCATTTTATGCACTTCCTTTTCGAAACATAGGAGTAGAGGTAAGTAATTATTTTCAGAAGCCTTGGCAATACTGGTTTCGTCAGAAGGCTTATGAAAAGCGATTGTATCACATAGGAGCA